TGGCCGGTCCCTTAAATAAAGTCGTACCCTAATCCTAAAAAATAGGAAAACATATTTATCCTAATAAACTAATTAATATCTATCCTAATCAACTAATTAAGATAATTAAGAATAAGTAAATTGCAAACARCCCCCCTCTACTTGTTTCCTGCCTCTCTTTTGCGAGGCAAATATATACGATCCCAATGTGGGTCGGGGTGAGACGTATCAGAAATCTGCTTGAGATTGCTTATTTTTGAAGATACATGTTGTATTACATGTGATAGTACAAGATTTGTTTTGGAATTTTTCATATGTAGATTTTATACATATAGGAATCATTGTACTAGTGAGACCTTGTGATGTAAACTATATTTCTATGTAATGAAATATGTGTTATATGCAAATGTGGTGTTTGGGGTGTTACATACATGGCCCCTAGTCATTTTCTCCGTCCTATAAACCAAAATTTTCTTGTAGCGAAGCAGTGATTAGACTCTGACAGCCACAATGTGGGAGTTACAATTCATTTGGGGGTCGGGCTCCTGGCTCCCAACTCTTAAGCCAACCAACTAGCAGCCTCTGTGTACTTGATTTGCCACTTGTCCTAGGGCAGGGTGGTGTAGGTCGGCTAGGATTGTCGGTTACAAGCCCTTTTTGCACAAAAAGAACATATAGGGGCCGTTTACCAAACGCTTACCCGGATAAATGCTTACCGACAAAATTCAACACTATCACTTACTTACCGGGTAAGATTTTAGTCCACCAAAACGATATCATATGCAATAATTTACCTGGTAAGCGCTAACTGCGGTAAGAGCAGTCGCCCTCACTTACCGGGTAAGACTCTCGGTCCTTGCCTTCGCTCTTACCGGGTAAGATTGTTGGTCCTTGCTATATTCATCCGGTAAGGTGATGTGACTTGCTAAGCACTTACCATTTAGTAAACGGCCCTATACACCAGCACATATACAAGGGGTGTCTCTACATATCTCTCTCTCTCTCTCTCTCTCTCTATATATATATATATATATATATATACACTACCTTAATATGCATTTACATCAAAGTCTTAATTACAACACAACAAGCATAGAGTACTACTTTTTGAAGCATAAAAATTGAAAATCTCTTAATTACTAATTATGATGCATTAGGTACAAGTCATTGATGCAAACTTTTGGAACTCTCCACCAACAAATATGGTCAATACCAATGTTTCTTTCTTTCAAAAAAGTATTTCCTTCCTTTTTCAGCTTTATCTCCAAGGTTTATCAATAAAATAGATAGTTTATGTTTTTTAAAGATATTTCAACCTCATACTTTTCCTCAAGTTGAACCAAATTCAATAAAAAAAAAAAAATTTCCTTCCTTTTAAATGCATACTCTTTGTATGTTGAAAATTTCAGTTTTATCTATCTTCAAGGTTTATCAATAAAATAGATAGTTTATGTTTTCAAAGCTATTTCAACCTCAGATTTTCCTTAAGTTGAACCAAATTCAAATTTCAAATCAAAAGAAAAGTTATAGGATAATGAAATCTCAAAACCTATCCCAAATTCAAATCACCTAAATATCTCAACATACTCCAAAAATCCTAAAAGACTCATCCCCATCCCAAATTTAAAATCGGTGAAATCTCTCATCCGTCTTCTTACAAATTGCTCAATATCTTCTACTCTTCTTGAAGTGGGATTCGTCTTTGATGCTATTACCAACATTTAAATTGTTCATCCAAGTTCATGTTTATCTTCCATCGGAATGGTGGATTGGTTCTAATATTTTCCTAGTTACACGGCTATATTTAACAGTATTTGGAAAAAAAAATCTGGAAGGATGAACTGCGTTCAAAGCTTAAAACTGGGCAATTGGGCAAAAGGGGGAATTCCCTGTTTATTGCAATATCTTGAAGCTAGAGAAACATAGTGTAGTTTTAATAGAATATCACTTGCTTAAAAAAGATTTGGATGGCTCTCTTTTCTATGGCCCGAAACATATATGGGTATTCTTGTTCTTTTATTTCTTCCGGAAGTTGTTGGAGTCAGTCAAGTCCAGAAACATGTATCATGTAAGTTTGTTTGTTATTATTGATTTATGTTTGGATGGTTGTTGTCAATTTTGGACCTTATTTATTGTTGTTATTTTATCCTTTTAAATCTGTATATGGTTAACATGAAGATATAGCTGTAAGGTGAGGATTATTAGTAAGTAGGAGTTTAGTTCAGAGAGAAGATTGAAGAGAGGAATGGAATGGAATGGTATGGAAGATGAAATGCAGAAATGATATGTTGGTTCTAAAACGTGATAGTGATGGTGCATGAGGTGGTGTTGAGCCACGTAGGTACGAAGGAAGGAAGATAATGGGGGTATGACATCATAGGGGTTATATATGGCTTGGCCACTTCTACAAAAGCATCATTAATCATAGGCTTCAACCAGCGAATACAATCTACTTTCTTGAAGAATTAATGAATTCATTGTTTTTAGTGAATTAATAAACTTTCTGTCTCAAAATATTTTCCCCTTTTGTTGTTATAATCGTCTTGCGTTCTTCATTCGTGCAGGTTTAATTTGTAAATTTGGATCTGTAAGAAGATCCCTGAAATCTCTTGGAATACTGAGATTAAACGTGATTACGCTTTTTCTTGTCTTATCTTGATAATCTTACAAAATTAGGATATATATACTTCCTTGTTGGGCTCTTTTTAGCAATTTGGTTAATTAACGAGCCTTTTATTTGATGTCTTTTTTTTTCCTTTGTAGCTTTTAGTAGTTTGATATGAAATGGGCATGATTTATTAACTAATTATGTGGCTTAGTTTTGTAAACCTTGAGAGTAGATGTTAATAGGAGTTAATTTAAGTGCCAATCTTATCAGCTTTATGACCCAGGACCACGTTTCCTCAATGTTGCAAATGAAAATCCGGGTTGTTCCTAAAGGAACTAAGCACACATTACTACAGAGACGGACCCAATGTACAGCATTCGGTCGCACATATTGTTCATCTGTTGTAATGTAAAATTCTATAGGGTTGTGAAAAGTGTTATTGTATTAATTTGTTGTGTGTCACCGTACGTATTTTGAAACTACAATGAGAACACAAATTTTCCTTGGTAGAGTTGGCTTGTAAGGTTTTTCTTCCACCCTGGTTGAAATTCAAATTTTGTTAGTGTCATTTTCTTAGGTTTTAACTTTTAATTTGTAAAAATTCATATATTTGTTTCTCATACTCAAATAGTGTACCTTTCTGTGGCTACATTGCTATATTCAATAAAGATTATATAGCTTGATAGAAATAAATAATTAAAGATTTAAGATGAAAATATAAGAACCGAAATTAAGCTTGAACTGAAGTAGCAAATAGCAATTCAGCACATCCAACTCATGATAGAAAGTAAAGATGAATATATAAAGAAAAGGAGAAGAATAAAGAGGGAAAATCTGATTATGAAATGAGAAGTAGGAGGTGTTTGGGATTGCTTATAAAAACAACTTATCGGTGTCAAACCGGTAATAAGCACTTTTGAGTGTTTGGATAAACAACTTATACGGGTGTCAAACTGGTAATAAGAAGTTTTTGAAGAAGTTAAACATAAGTTGACAATTATAACAAGTTGACAATTGACAAGTTGACAATTGTTTTTCTAGAAAAACATAAGTTGTTTCAAATAAGCAATCCCAAACAATATTACTACTTATAACTCATCTGTACAACATATATAATTTAAAGGAACAAAAACACTATTCATAACCATGATTCTAATTTTCGATATTCGATCATCAAAATCACCGAGATTAGGCCAATAATTAATAATTTAATCAAAGAAAAACATTAAAAAAAATTAATTAATTACCTTGAGAGATAGCGTTTTGAATTTCGGCACATTTACGAACAACGGCATGGTCGTTGAGACCTTCTTCTTCCTCAATCAAGGATTCATTGAAGCCATTTTTGGGGGAAGGTTTCTCGTGCGCCAGCTTGATCTTGGAGACAAGAAACCATTGGATGAGAGAGAATATGATTCCTATGGCGGCGCAGAGTGGGATTACGATTTGAGTTCCGAGATCTGGGAGAATTGTTGACGTCCCCATGGCCGTGATACCGGCGGACGAGGGAGGTCCGACGTACGGGAAATAAAACGAAAATGTGATAAATTGAAAATAAAACGAATTTGAAAATGACAGAAGAAGATGGAGATGATGTTATCGTGTATACATATAGATACAGATGCAATATACGTATCGAGGAAGAGGAAGAGGAAGAGGACGAGGACGAGGACGAGGAAGATGGATTTAAACGATGGGAGAGATGTCTGGTCTTGAAAATGGGAATGATTCAATCCAAATTTCATCTTTTTTAAAAGAGGAACGGTTTTTATTTTCTAAAACTTTACTTTCATTTTTTTTTTTTTTTTGTTCAAAGAGAATAGTTTTAAAAAAACTCAAACGAATTTGATGTTTGGAATAATTAAGTTTTTGGATAATTTTTTGAAGTGAATAAGTTTTTGGATATTTCAAAACATGTTAGATAACTCTTTGAACTTTTTAAAACATGTTAGATATATTTTTATGACCTATAATGCTGGTTAATGTGGTAAAACAATGAAAAAAATCTGAAAAAAAAGTCAATAAACATTCATATTTTGAATGATCAAGTTCTTAAACGTTTTTTGAACCAAAAAAATATTTAGATCTATAAAATGAAACAAATATACCAAAAAAGTATTTACATTTACTTAAATTTAAATATTTTTTGGTATATTTGTTTCATTTTATATAGACTAGAAGCGTACTCGCGCAATGCAGCGAGATACATCGTGTTTTTAATATTTCATTTTATTCTTTATCTCAGTCGATGTTATAATATGACTTTATATGATTTTGAGAAAGCGATGATGTTTTTATTTTTGAATAAAATA